CCCTGTCTCTAATAAAATAAATCACTGAATTTCTTAGAGCCTTCATTTTGCTGAGGCTGGCTTTGAACTCTAGATCCTCCTATCTCAGTCTCCTGAGCCACTGGGATTACAGGTATGTGCCACTGTGTCTTGCTAGGCCTAAATATCTTAATGTCTCTTTCAAATAATTTTCATTGTGACTTTTAAAAGATAATAAAAATAAAGTAAGCCTTCTCCCAAAGTGTGAACAGGCATTCTATATTAAAAATTGTATATGTATAGACCTGGGGATATAGCTTAGTTGGTAGAGTGCTTGCCTTGCATGTATAAGACCCTGGGTTCAATCCCCAGCACCCCCCTCCAAACACACACACAAGTATAAAACAGGGCTGGGGTTGTAGCTCAGCAATAGAGAGCTTGCCTCACTCGTGTGAGGCAGTGAGTTCGCTCCTCAGCACCACATAAAAAAAAAACAACCAACACACAGTATTCTCTACATAATTATCTTTATCAACCCAAAATAGATCTCTGTTTAACTACCTCCCCAGGAAGGCTTTTATTTCTACTCACTTCCATCCATCTCTCTTTGCATCTGCATATAATTTAGTACTTATTTTAATTCTACAACAAAGACCAACTTGCATGTTTATTTTAAAATGTGAAGTTTTATTTATTTTGGCAGTGCTGGAGATTGAACCCAGGGTCTTATGCATATTAGGCAAGCACTGAGTCATACTCCCAAACAAAAAATGTAAACTTTTTTTTACCATGATCAATGAACATGTTGGAATCTTACCTGAATCCTGAGTACTCCAACCACCTGGGCTGTAGGTGGTGTAATAGTGAACTTCCACTCTGATCTCCAACGACCATTCCTATTAAAACATACACATACAGTGCTGCAGAAATAGCGGTACGCACAAGAAAGAGGTGATTTACCACTGAGGCCAAAAAGTCGAAAAAATTTTTTGAGGGGTTGGGGAGGAGGGGCCATTCATTCCCAATTTGATAAACCCAAGGAATACTCAAACCTAAGTGTGGAACCAAGTGGCTTGACCATAAACATTTACTAAATTATCTGGATTTCCAATTTTCCTTAGTTTGCTTTGAAATGAACCATGCCCATTCTGTTCATGGTAGGCTCTTCTGAAAATGGACAGGCTGCTGAGTTACATAATCAACTCAAATATTACTAACCCTTACCCAAGTAAAACTCAATAATTTCAACTGGGCACTTTATATTAATCATTTGTTCTCACTCAATATAAAAGTAGTTTTTAAAAAGATATGGCTATAAAATCTTAGGATTAGAGCTGGGTATGGTGACACATTCCTGTAATTTCAGTGACTCACAAGACTAAGACAGAAGGACTGCAAGTTCAAGACCAGCCTCAGCATCTTTGTGAGACCCTGTCTCAAAATTAAAAAAAAAATAATAATAATAACAAGAACTAGAGATGTAGCTCAGGGGTAAAGCACCTCTTGGTTCAATCTCACATATTGGGTAGAAAACAAAACACAACAAAAAAACCAAAACAAATTAGAATTGGAGGGAATCTAAATAATGTCTAAATTCATAGATGGAGAACTAAAATCTTGTAAGTAAAAAAATTTACCCTGCTGAGGCAGGAGGATCAGAAGTTCAAGGCTAGCCTCAGGAATTTAGCAAGACCCTCAGCAACCTAGTGAAATCCTGTCTCAAAAATAAAAAGGACTAGGATGTATGAAAAATTAATAAATGTTGGGAGCAGCGAATGAATTATATAATCCTTGAGCTATCCATACTGGGAACTCTCTGTGCAAAGGCCTAGATTTGAAACTGTCCAGCTGCTGTGGTGATGCCCTGTACAAAGGGAAATTCCATGCTAGCCAGGGACTTATCAGTTCTTAACCTTGGGTTCTAATGACAGCTGTCCACAGGTGGAGAATTATGGGCACAAGCTGATAGTTCTAATTGGGCTGTTTATACCCTCCACTTTGGTTCTGTTTATCTTTAAGAAACTTTCTTACAACGAATCCTTTTGAGGTTAAAACCTATATAATAAACATGCTGAACTGGCTCTGGGTTGTCCATCCCTCATCAGGGGATGGAGAACCATGGGGGCCCAGATTTTTCTCTATTTGTCTTGTCTCCATCTCCTTATCACCTGGTCTGGTATCTGAATTAACTGCTGTGCAGTTTGCAGCAAAAAAAAATTCTCAAAATAGATAAAAATTACTGATTTCTCTACAAAATAATTATATGCAAACAAAAGAGAATATCTAGTTCTTTCCAGAAGTTTTTAGGCTGAAACTGGTGTCTTTTAATACATGCCATAATAGTCTGTTGTCCATCTATAGTTTTAGCATAAACCTATTGGGGAAAAAAATCAAACTAGAAAAACACAATTAATCTAAATGACAGACAATGCACATAAACATTGTGTTAAATCCTTGAGACAGATAGAATAAGAAAAACATAGTACTCACAACCAGATCCTGTTAAATTCTTTATATATAGTTGTAGGTGGACACAATGCCCATATTTTATTTTTTTATGTGGTGCTGAAGATCAAACCCAGTGCCCTGCGCATGCTAGGCAAGCACTGTACCTCTGAGCCACAACCGCAGCCCTAGATTCTGTTAAATTCTAACAGAGACAGAGGTACAATGAATAGAGAAAAATATTGCTCTGGGCTTAGAGTTTAATGCATGTGCCATTTAAGCTAAGCTTTACAAAGCAGATAAGATTCTGATAAGCAGAGACTGAGAATAAAGACCAGTAAACAGTTTAGGCATAAAATCAAGGATTTGTTAAGTGAATGTCAATTTGGTCATCAGGTTAGAGGGTATGTGTAAAGTAGACTAGTGGGAGACAGAATGGTAGATTTAGACCATAAAGTAGTAGATATAAGTAAAAACTTTAGATTTCATTCTACAGGAAGCAGAAAGAGTAAAACAACATGACCAAAACTATTATTTTGGGAGAATATGACCAGCACTATTATTTTTGGAGAATGTCCAATACTGCTATACAGGAAAAAAGGGAAGAAAAGATGGAGGCTGGTTAGAAGACCACATAAATTAATTTAGGTCATAATCTAGGGTAGTATCAAATGGTAATGAAAAGAAAGGGTTGCAGACAGAATGCATAAGTTTAGCAATATATTGTAACTGAAGGGTTAAACAAACAAATGAACAAACAAAAAAAGGGCCAAAGTATTTGTACATCTGAATGACTTGGAAGATGGTGGTCTCAGTAACAAACTGGGAAATCTAGATGGAAATGTCTAGCCAGTAGTTACAGAAACACCAACTCTTCCTTACAGTAGAAATAAATGGAAACAATTACTAGGGGAATGCAAAGAAGCCATCGAATTTTAGAGTTCACATAATATGTTTTCCCATATTATTTTCTATTTGCTCTAACAAAACTGGCAAAACTACAACAAAATAAAAGAAAAGGCATGTTTATCATGCACAAAAGGTAAAGCTGAAGTTAGTTCATAGGTGTTTTTGTCCAAGGTCTCTTAAGAGAATAAGTGGTGCAGATAAAACCCAAACACATTGTTTTTCTACCACTAAGTCTGTGTTACATTCCCTGTATTTAGTGGGCTATGAACTTTCAAGAGTATTTTAAAAGTTTTGGGATATTAGAAAATTAGTAAAAAGAATTAATAGGTATTGATAATAGCAGTCTAAGCAAAAGATCATTTCTATTTTCTAGACTCAGTATGAAACAACAAAAGAAGTCAAGGACCACAAAAATGTTCACTGGATCAAGTGATTCAGGAACCATTAATACTCTCAGAGATCACTTTCTATAGGATGGAGACTAGAGTAAAACTCAAAGGCTCATAAGTGGATGAGTATTGAGGACATGGCACTAGTAGGGGAAGAAGGCCCAATGATTTGGAGGGTAAGGAAGAAAACAGAGGAAAAACAGCAAGATGAACAGAAACAACTCAGAGAAATTATCATGATTAAAGTTTTATTTCCATTAAGTACAGGAAAAATAACAACATTTCTAAGTAATGAGAACTATATAAGAAGAGAAAACAAAGTCATATGAAATTATCTTAAAGTACACAGGATAGTATGAAACCAAGAGTAAGAACTTTTCTTTCTCAAATTCAAGTATAACAGAAAAGTTTTTCAGTGTGGAGGGAAGAGAAAAATATTTTATGTCAGACTCACACCTAAAAAAAACGTTGGGGATTAGATGCCCATCTAGGACAAATAAGAATTGTCTGGAAAATGACACATAGAAAATGTGATAGGTAATAAAGAGTTGAAATTACTAAAATAGATTACTAAGCAGGACAGCTAAGAATATAGAAAACTAGTGTATAGTAGACACCATTAGAAAAATTCCAGGACTGTGTTGCTCATTTGATAGCTAAGAGAAGTGAAAAAAGACTCTTGAGGTTATTTGCCATTGAAACTCTCCAAATTAAAGAATGGGGAATGACAAACTTTGAATAAGTAACAAATGACAAATTGAAAGTATATTTAGGATCAAAAAGCCAATTTCTAAAAGGAAATGTATCAAGTCTCCCACTGCAATACTGGGTTCCAAAAAGGAATTCTGTACTGGTATCCACCAAGATGGGTTTTCTCCTTTATTAAACAAACAAACAAACAAACAAACAAACAAATAAATAAATAAATAAATAAATAAAATGATTTTATCTACCATTTAGGCAGGGCTTACTTTGTGCCACTGTTTTAAGCACTGTAAATGCATCATTAACTCATTTAATCTTCACATGAATACTATGTGGTAAGAACTATTCCATTTCAAATAAGAAAACAGACATAGAACTATTAAGTCATTTACCTAAGGTCACACAGCTAGTTAGGTGGCAGGACTAAGACTCAAACCAGTTATTAAAGTTTAAATGTAAGTGCTCTTAACTAACTTTCTATATTGCCATTTAACTCATCATCATCACATATTTAAAATACTCTAGTTAAAGTATTGTTTTTGAGAATGGCTTAGAGATTAGATTTTCATCATTCTCATTAAAAAATAAACCTGTTAGATAATACATGTTAATTAGCTCAATTTAGCCATTCTACAGTGTATACATATTTCAAAACATCATGATTTTATTAATTGATATAAGTTTAAAATACAATAATAAATAATTATTAAAAGTTCTGAGGCTGGTGTTGCAGCTCAGCTGGTAGAGTTCTTGTTTCACATGCACAAAACCCTAGGTTCAATTCACAGCACCACCAAAACAAACAAACAAACAAATAAAAAATTAAACTTTCTATACATATTTTTCTTGTCACAATATTATAAAGGAGAAATCATGTTAGAGCCAAATTTATCCATTAGAGCCCAAGAGATAGTAAAAAATAAAAATAAAATTACTCTGGATTTCTAAAAGTGTTTATTTCAAAACAGTTTTGATTATCTAGTGAAAAATATATTAACTATGCAGAAGTAGATTTTGTATAAATGCCTATGCCAAAAAGACACAAATGTGGACAATAGATCTCCCAACAATTTTAACATTTTTCCTAAATCTAAGTTAAAGTATTTAAAAAATTTAATTTTTGAAGTAAGGCAATATTTTTTCGTAAGTAAATAAGATAAATATAAAATAGAACATATAAAAATTCAAAATTATTAGGCATTGTGATTATATAAAGAAATTTTTCATGTATTTATACTCCTTTCAAAAATGGTTTAGAGGGCTGGGGTTGTGGCTCAGTGGCTTGCCTAGTATGTGTGAGGCACTGGGTTCAATTCTCAGCAACACACAAATAAATAAATAAATAAAGGCCCACTGACAACTAAAAAATATTAAAAAAAAAAAGATTTAGGGAATAAAATACAGAGATCATAACTAAGAAAGAAGTGATGTTTGGTTGGCCAAAGTTCCCAAGTAATAAGGTAGATGTAAGAAATATAACACTCTGATAATGAAATAGGCAGACAATTACTTAACAGTACAGAAGCCTTTGGAATAATCTTTCACATAGGCTCTTAAAGCATTGTCACAGGATTCTCTCCAAGACTTCCAACCTCCATCTACTTCCTCTGGTTGAGGGTCACTTGCTTCTTTCCATAAGTGATCAAACTTAAAGCAAATTTTGTTTCTTGGATCTAAAAATCGGCTATTACCCAGGTCACCATGCTCTGTAATTAAGACATTCCAAAGAAGAATTAAAATTATGAGTAACTATAAAAAAAATATAGTTATCACATTTTGGAAAACAAGTAAATAAATTTGAGGAAAGCAGCTTTTCATTAAGTCAAATTTCTCTTTCATATTGATTTTTCCAAGTCTCAATTTTATTCTTATTAAAATATTATATTTATGGTAAGTCAACTTTATCCTATAAATTGCCCCCCTCTTACACACCCATCATTTTGTGGTTGGTCTAATATTTATGTAAGTACTTTTGAACACTTCTGTATTCTTTTTTCTGTACTTTATGAAAAATTTCAAGAGTCATTATACTGAACATTTAAAAATATATAAAGGTAAAAATCTCCTATTTCTCAAATAGCAAATTCCTAAAGGAACTTAAAGTAGCCTACATTCAGTATGAATGCTTTTATTTCCCCATTGAATAAAAATGTCTCCTGTTATTACCAAAAATAATTAGAGACAGCTGGAAAACCTTTAAGATATTTTGATTTTCTCTCTTCATATTAGGGGTCTCTCTCTCTCTCTCTCTCTCTCTCTCTCTCTCTCTCTCTCTCTCATAACAACTGGTATCAGCAGAAAGAGAAAATAATTTCCTAATGTGTAGAATATTTTTAAAAACTTTGAAAATCAAGAAATAAATTTATTCAGCACTTAATTCACACATCTGCTTTGGTTTCTATCATCTCAACTAACTGTCAGGCATAGTCTATTTAATGGGTGTATTTTCTCATATACTTTTTGGATCTTTTGAAAATATGTGAAAAGGCCATTTGTTGGGCACGTAAGCTGGAAATAAGCCTACCTGCCTTTGTGCGGGCTCATATGGCTCCACACACTGGTCTGGATATTTGTGGTTTGGAACACCAACCACAACCAGCCCCATCACCATGGTAACCTGGCCACTCTCACGTGCACATTGTGTTCCTTTTCTTTCTCCTTTTTGCCTGTGAACTTTCAGCCCATTGGATGCCACTTGTAAGTGTGTTGCTTGCTCACTGGATTATTATGGCCCTCAGCTAAATTTACAAGGTAACAGACTATGCATAAAAGGCTTCCCTATGCAATAATAACGTGGAACAAGTTCTGTGAAACTGGTCTCCAAAGGCCTCTTTTTGACTTTGTCACCACAACCTCCTCAGCTATTCAGTGGGCTTTGGCTGGACCAAGTGAGCCCACAGCCATTGAGTATTCTTCTTCCTAAAACTAAAAAGTGTGTGTGTATGTGTATGTGTGTGGGGGGTGTGTGTCTG